GGAGCATCCATTATAAACAGCTATTTTGCATTGAAGAACGATTTGATATTGAAAAATCCATTACTAGTTCAATAATGCCTTTGGTATGATGCACGTTTGGATAAGGTGGTGTACAATGACTGCAGAATCCAAAATTTTTTTCTTGTTACCTAAACTGTTAAAAATTCTAAATCAACTTTGGCATAAGACATATCCATTTAGGTTGGTTTACTAGTCAATATTTATATCATTATAGTTTCTTTAACAATAAAAGTATTGAGCATGCAATGTTTTCTAGGTATGTGAAATTTACTGATTGTTATTGCTTATGAGTAGGTGATGGTGGAAAGTTTTCAGTTGGTTTTGACATCAATGTTTTCGCTGAAGTTCACAAGACTGGTAAGTGGGTTATGTTTAGCCGAAGCTTTCAGTCCTACCCATTTCTTTTTATTCTTCATATATATTTTTTACTTGGCAGGGGACGTGTCTATTTTGCCTGATGAATCAATTGATTTGCTTGTTAACACTATTGAAGGTCTTGACTCTTCTACTTGTAATTATCTCGATCATGTTCTGTAATCATTTAAACTTTTCTAATCATATGTGTTGTTGTGTATTGCCATCTTCAGATGCTAAAAAGCCTTCTGTTGCGGCCATTCAAGGACTTGCACTTGGAGGTGGTTTGGAGTTGACAATGGTTTGATTCTTGAGCTTTATTTTTTTAATATCATTTTCCATGTCCTATTTTGTTTATGGTGTGCCTTTGGTTTAGAGTTGTCATGCTCGAATATCCACTCCAGATGCTCGGTTTGGATTGCCGGAGCTGACTCTTGGTATTATTCCTGGCTTTGGAGGTAGTGATGATGCTTATTGGTCGCAAACTGAGCTTCAGAAACTTTAATGCTATTTGATCCAATATCTTGCAAACATTCTTACTTCTGATATCTCAATTCTTTGAAGGCACCCAGCGTCTTCCTAGGCTTGTGGGGCTGTCGAAGGCTATAGAAATGATGTTGGTAAGTGAACTTTGGCACTTAATAGTTTAGTAGTTCTGCACACACCTGTCCCTATTTTACCTTCAAAAAATTAAAATAAAATGTGAAAAATCATGGGGGAATTGTTATGGCATGAAAAATGATGTCATGGTTAAATTCTCTAATTAAAGTAACGCAATCATTTATTTTTATTTTCACTTTGAACTTCAAATGCTCGGCAGTTTGGCTAATTCCTGATGCTAGTTATACACAAATACCTATCTTTGTTCTCATTTTTTCCTTTTCTTTTGTAACAACATTATGCAGCTATCGAAGTCCATAAGTGCTGAAGAAGGAATGAAGTATGGCCTTATTGATGCTATCACTTCTCCTGAGAATTTGTTGAACGTTTCAAGACGTTGGGCATTAGAAATTGCTGAAAGGAGCAAACCTTGGATTAACTCACTTAAGCGGACCGATAAACTTGCCTCTCTTTCTGAAGCACGTGAGATGCTGTATTCTTCTCGACAACAGGCTAAGAAGACCGCTCCAAACATGCCACAGAATCAAGTCTGCCTCGATGCAATTGAGGAGGGCATAATTTTTGGGGGATATGCAGGTGTCTTGAAAGTAAGTGCGTTTACTTTCACATCAATTTACTTTGCTTGTCATTGGGAGTTCGTATTTTTGTTAACTCCTGCATTAATTTACACTATGTCACATCCTAAGGTACTATGATTGTCATCCTTCAGCTGAAAGACTCGAGCAGTAGAATGATTGATTTTGTGCATTTCTTGCTATTAGTTTCTATAATTTGTTCCTGAGTTCCATAATATATCAAAAGGTCTGTAAGTTAATTCCTAGGTTTTAATGGATAGAATATTAGACTTGGACCACTTCAACTTCTTTGTACCATACGTGCCATTTTGTGTCGACAGAAGTTTCATGTCTCTGGGGCCATGTATTGATTTCACTTGTTTTCCACAACTTTATTAATGTACTAATTAAATTTACTGCCCTTAGGAGGCGAGACTTTTTAAGGAGATAATATTGACAACAACTTCAAGAAGTCTTATCCATGCCTTTTTCGCGGAACGTGCAACTTCCAAGGTACATATTTTTGTCTTTTTCATTCTGATACACACGATTATTGTTGACATACGATTTTATTCCTTATTGCTATGCGGCAATTTTCTCAGTGCTAAGTGAAATTTTCAGAAACCTTTTTGATTTGAGATCCAAACTAATTTTTATCATTGCCAGTCAATCTTTGAACAAAGTTTCTCAACATATAGCAATCTGAATTGATGTTACATTTGATAGTAACAAGAATTCATTATTCATATTGGGGCTCCTGCAAAAATTTAACTTTATTTTTGTCACATTTTAGTCCAAGTACTCATTTTAGTTTTATTGTTTTTGGAGTTTGTTCACCAAAAATTTGGGCGGACTCCTAGCATCACCCTAATACAAGGCATCTATAGGAAGTGTTGGTTCTTCCTGCCACACCCAAAAGGGCACGTATGGTCTGTTTAGTGAGATACCATGATTATTACAATCACAATTGCTAAGAAATGCACGCATGAGTACATGAAAATTTATTTGAACACAATTTCTTCATCGTATTAAGAAAAGTGTGCTTGAGTGTATTTTTTAATCATTTTCATCATTTTCTTTTTCCTGTGTTTATTTTAATTATTCAGCTCAAGTCATATTAGTGTTCATTTTGGAAACCTCTCAACATCTCCCCTACATAGAAAACATCTATAGCGAGTACTAAGCCTACCTTTATATGAAAAATGGTGCTCATGATGACC